TAATGGGGTTAATGTATGATATTACTTAATAATACAATACATTATAATATATGATATGATAATTATATTTTAGTTTTATTCATTTCTTATTTCATAGTTTCTCATTATTATTATTTTTATCACTCATCTTATTTTTGATTTTATTAATCTGTGCTGTCCTGTTTTTCACTCTCACCCTGTTGCTGTTTGAACTACTGAATTTCCCCACGGGATTAATAAAGGTCCATCTTATCTTATCTTAATGTATAAATTGATTTACTTCAATCTACTGTACTGTGTAAAAACACCCCAACAATATTACAAGAAATATACTGCATAAAGCAAACTATATACTTTATTTGATCTAAAATATTGATGTTTTTTCATTATAGTAGCTTGTGAAAACCATACAGTAACAAATAAGTGATTAAATGCTACAGTATTCAGCAAACACAACTGCAGAGCTGTAAACATTGCAAACAGTTGTCTTTGTGTATTTTGTGAATGAAGCGCCATCTCATGGTTAAATCCTGTAATTGAACAAATGGGGAAATTGGGCAACGCCCTCTAGCAATTTGGCAACACCCCCAGCCACTGGCATCCGCTGGGCTTTTGACTGGGACACACCCACCTGAGTCTGATCTGGAGTGCTTCATCTGTAGAGAAATTCATGTCCTTCTGCTGGAAGACTGGGATGCCCCTTGGATAGGTTACCTCAACATGGGTGAACACTCACTATCACACAGCTATTGCAAATGTATAGTTGAATTCACCTAACTTGCATGTCTTTGCACTTTCGGTGGGCACTGGAGCAACATACCAACACAGACTCCAAACAGAAAGGACCACAGCTAAGACTGTAACCCTATATCTGACACCCATTGCCATACTATGTAAAGAAATAATGTCTAAGGAAAGTGAAAACGGCTTAATTTGACATCCTAATCAGGATGATTGATGTGAACCTGACCAAATGTTTGACAGTATTCTAAAGTATTTCTTTTTTTCCCTGTCAGATTGAGTGCACCACCTGCAACATGTGGTATCACGTTGGATGCATGGGACTGCCCTCCACAGAGGACGAGTATTTTTGCCCTGCATGCAAGTCTTGATGCCACAACACTTCCTGTGCCAGCTCGGAGTACAACCTGCCTCAGGAGCTAATGATCCAGTTCTACTCTTTCTACTTTCAACTCTGTCTACCCATAATCCCCCCCCACCTCTCAATCAACTTCCTCTTGACTGCCTTTTCTGTTTATTTTACTATATTCATTTGTTTGCCTGGCCTTGTTTGTCTACCATCCATCATAATGTAAAGTGACTTTGAGTTGGAGAAAAGCGGTATATAAATCGAATGTATTATTATTACTCTGCAATAATCCAGTCTGTTCTCTGTACATCCATCGCTGTGTGGTTTGGATCCAACAGGACAGAAAAAGGCTATGTTCCTTGTATGTTTACACATGCCAAATAAAGCTGATACTGAATCATTACTATCATTGTTGTTGTCTTTCCTTCTGTCACACTAATGAGTAGGGATGTAACGGTATCCGTATTCGTCCCGTACCGTCACGGTTCGGGACATGCAGTCACACGGCGAATACGCCTTTTTTTACGAGTGGGAAAAAAGTCTGTCACTCAGGGCAGTATTACACTATATATAATCCAGGGGGCGGTATTGCACCTAAAAGCCAGCCGCCCGTAAATAACAAATGAACAAAATACATGAAGAAGAACAGTTAGTAGCTATGGCGAGTTCACACAACACACAGGAGCTAGAAGACCCACCTGCTTCTTTTAAATCAGCTGTGTGGGAACATTTCGGGTTCTCTGTGGACTACAACAATGATGGAGTGCGAGTTGTGGATCGGACGAGGACGAGGACGGTGTGTCGGCATTGTTCGACAGCGGTGCGGTATGCTAATGGAAACACGCTCAATCACATCCGAGTCAGTCTCAGTCCCAGGGAGAGGGTTTTCTCGACGGCAGGTGACATAGTTACCGCCAACAGATCTGCCCTCACTGCTGACAACGTAGACAAACTCATCTTTTTGAAGAACAACTTGAAAATAGAGTAAAACTTGAGTACCTTTATTTAGGCATAATGGCCTCACACACTCACAAGTTAATTACACATGTTAGACATTGCTCCTAAAGGTACAGATTGTATTTTGTTTCCGATTCCGTAACCTTGGCGCACTGCCACTCCAAAATCCAATCCCGACTTGAAGTTTAATCACGGGGACTGTAGCGAAATGTCCCTTATAGGCCTACATCTGTTTCCGGTTATTTTTATTTAGAAATTCAGTTCCTGACGGACGCCAAAAAAGCCCGAGATTATAGAATTAAACAAATAAATAAAAACAAGGATAATTGTGTGTTATTGTTGAGTAAATAACAGTGTGTTATTTAGAAAAGAATAACAAATTAGAAGGAAAAAAATATTTTAAAAATACAGATTTCAGTATCCTGAGGCTGTGAGCCATTTATTTTCCTCACAGACGGCAACAAAAGTCCGAAATGATACGATTTTAAATAAAAGCAATAATCGTGGCTTGATATCGAGTAAGAACATGTTTTTATGAACCACACAGCCTTCCTATAACACGTAATGCCGTGAGACTGGGTTGAAACATAATACCAATAGAAATACATTGCTTTTAAAATCGTGCTGTGCAACACGAAAAAAAGGGGGAAATCGTGTTGGTGAACATGAAATGCCGTGAGACTGGGTTGGTCCTGCACATGTGCGAAAAATAAACATTTTAGGGACCGCTTTTTCAACCACTCGTTATGGTCATTTTACGGCATAGTTGTTGAGATAGTGCAGACATTTTTAAAACTTAATTTCAACCACTATCCAAACAATGATATATTGACATTATACAGACTTGTTAAGGAATGCTTGAAATCACCTTTTCTTGATAAGTGAAAAATATCTAGAAATTGATATTGATAGAATATGTTCAGTGTGAATTTTACAACACTACCAAAATCCATTTGGTCCACTTAAACTTGATTTTACAAGTGTATCTTAGATTCAAATGTATAATAATGAGTATACATACATATATATTCTAGGTGAATAACTTCAAAAACTACTTTATTCAAACAAGTAGTCATGCAAGCAGTATTACCCTCATGAATGTAATTTCTAGGGCTGTCAGTCGATTAAAATAGTTAATCGCGATTAATCGCACTTTTTTTATCCGTTCTAAATGTACCTTAGAGGAATATTTTTCAAGTTTTGAATACTCTTATCAACATATGAGTGGACAAATATGCTTTATGCTAATGTTTATTATTATTTAAATATTCTCATGAACTTTAACACAACAACCTCTGAACATTACAAATATTCGCCTCAATTCAACCTGGAACCTCTCTCGTACAATAATACAATACAAATGGTGTGTATGTGTGTGTGTGTGTGTGTGTGTGTGTGTGTGTGTGTGTGAAGGATCGTTGGAGCTATGTGCAACTCAAGGCATATGCTCGAACGGGAGCTGCCTGGACGCTGCAATCATGTTGCGCACTATCCGTGCTGAGTGTGCTGACTTCTCGTACAATGTCCCACTGTCTGGCTTCCTGCATAAAGTCAAGTGCTCGGCGCAGTTGTGGCGAAATGTCGCTCCTCTGTTTTCATCGAAACAGCTCCTTATATCCGTTAGCGCAGCTAGCTAGCACCAGATGCTAACAACAACAATGCACGTAAGGTCTCTCTCTCGCTTGCTTGGGCCACACATACACACACCCTCCCGGTCCTCCCAACAGCCAGTCGGTGCCTGCCGGTGAGCGTGGAAGTGTGGTCTGCCGCAAGCGGGCGGCAGGAGCGGGGCTGTCAGCATCAGCTTGTAGATGGTATTTTAAACTCGATGCGCTCTGAAACTACGGGGCGGCCGAGGAAAAACAATACACATGCGTTAATCGCGTTAAAATAATTAGTGGCATTAATTTTTTTGTGCATTAACGCGTTAACTTGACAGCCCTAGTAATTTCTAATGTCTATTAAAACATTGTATCTCAATAAATGAATTTACAAATTACATTTACGGCCCGTCCACACAGCGGCGTGCGTTGAAGTTTCCAACGCTTCTGCCCATTTTGAATGGGGTGACGTCACTTTTAGCCGAACTGCATTTTGGGAAGCGACGTGGAGCGTTGCTCGCTTCAAAAGTTGAGCAATGTTCAACTTTTGGCGCCTCGGCAGAAGCGTCAGCCAATGAAATCCCGTTTATGCAAATCTGCCAGTACAAGCGCTAGCCAATCAAACCGCGTGTATGCTGGGAGAGACTACGCAGGTCATTTCCTCATATTCCATAAAATGGAGGGAAAATTCATTGTAGCGGTAGTGAATCACCCGGTGCTGTATGATCAGTCTCTGTTCATCTACCGGGATACAAACCGGAGGAACCAGGCATGGAGGGAGGTGGCAGAGACAGTGGGTGAAACTGGTAGGTTTTCGCCTGTTTGGGGATTTTATATCCAGTTTACTTCGTTTAAACATTGCTATTGCTTTGTATGCCGGGGGCGGGAGATTCATGTGATTGGTTGTTGGTCGCAAAAAATCCCCAAGCTTCAGATACGCCCACCGCACGCTGCTGTGTGGACGCTCCGTTAAGAACTTTATTTTGTGAAGTAAGTGAAAGTTGGGCTACTTTCTTTTCATTTAATTTCAGACTGAATTTTACTTATAGAATCTAATGATAATTAAATGTACATTACACTCTGATGAGAATGTAAAATGATTTATAAAGAATGTGTTAATAACCATTTTGTTATGGTCCCTTTGCGCTTCTATATACTCTATATTGAGATCTCTGACGGCCTGGTATCGGGGACAATTGGTTGATCAACAAGCACACAATTTCATCATTCATTTGAAAATGCTTCAGTTATTAAAAACTAATAAGTGTATATTTTGTTGTTTCAGAACATGGACCTGAAAACTGTGCTCAACGTACCAATGGACAGCCCATACTTCTAACCCCCACCAATCACTGTAAAGGTGATCAAACCAGCCAAAAGTGGTGGCTTGGGACTTTGGCGACACAATAAAGGCGGCCACCGTCAAACACAACAAGGTGGCCATTGTGTCTGATGGCAGCAGTGTCACTAAGGTGACCATTTATGAGGAGTATGCCTCAAACATCGCAGAGGGGGGTACCTATGTGTTAAGGGGCTACACACTGCGCGGGCAGTCTCCCCCTTATTTTCTCAACATTACAAAAACCACAATGTTTTTTCGAGCCACTACCCTTCAAGTGCCGCAAAACCTGCTGGAGGAGGCGGAGGCCCTCCTCCACCCTGCCTCGCCAATTACGTCGATCAAGGACTGCACAGATGTGCAAGTCTACATGTCTGTGCAGGGAGAAATCATTGAGGTAAGTTTGACCTCACGGTACGTCCACACAGCAGCTTTTCAAAAATCTTGAAAATCTTGGAGCTGGGCGTGTCTGAAAGCTTGGGGATTTTTTGCGAGCAACGCGACCAACAACCAATCACATGAATCTCCCGCCCCCGACATACAAAGCAAAAAACCCCGGGGATTTTATGCGAGCTATATATATAAATATATATATAAATAAATAAACTCCCCAAACAGGCGAAAACCTACCAGTTTCACCCACTGTCTCTGCCCTCCCTCCATGCCTGGTTCCTCCGGTTTGTATCCCGGTAAATAGTTCTGGTCGTAAAGAACCGGGTGATTTGCTACCGTAATTTCTCGTTTGGAATATGAGGAAATGAACTGCGGTCTGGCTCTCCCAGCTTGCACGCGGTTTGATTGGCTAGCAAAAACAAAACAATATGAAAACAAGTCAGGACAAGGTCCGCAAAAGAAAAATAGAAAGGGGCCAGGAGGACAACTTCCAAGTCGGGGATCAGGTGATAGCTATCATAGTAGTGTTTTCACTATCACTCACATATAACAATTCTAATACACATCTTCAGTAGTAAACCCAGGAGTCATTGAATGTTTCGGCTTATAATTAAACAATAGCCCTGCAAGGTGGTCAAATCCAAGCAGTGTGTATTATAGGAACACGTAGCTGTGCGTTTGAGTTTTCAGCATTCAGGAGGATATGCAGCTATACGCGTGAGCAAGAGAGATGCATTCGCTGCGCTGCCTCAGGACCAAGTGAGCCGGAAAGGGCTTCCACGCGCTCTTTATATAGAGATGTAGGAGGGGCTTATTTCCCATGTAACTTTCGTGAAACCTCCGTATGTCACGGTGAGCCGGTGAGTATCCATAGGTTTTTCTTAATCCTGTTTTTTGCCTTTGTGACCCCAATAAAATGTTCATTCCAAATAGTTATGTTGTCTCTTTATTTATTTACAATTCACGTGTTCTCTAAAGTGGAACTCCACTTAATTATTTCAGGCATGAAGAGGAGTAAGCACGTGGGCGTCCATTTTAGGTTATGGCCTGGAAAAGGGGGCGGTTAGGATCAGCGTTCGCTTGAGGGCGAGAGAGTATCAGGCAGCGACCCCTGAGGGGCCATCGGAGAGAGCCAACCTACTCCAGAAATGAGAACATGGGGCACTGGCTGTGTTAGGGAATAAGAGGCTTGGATCCTACTGCCGGGGACCGGCTGTAAGATTGAGTGCTCGGGCCATCCTTGCTCTCTCCACCGAGGCAGGCCTACTCTCACCTTAGGCCCAAAGAAAAATGTAATGACGTTGAGTGATAGCTATCATAGTAGTGTTTTCACTATCATTCACATATAATAATTCTAATACACATCTTCAGTAGTAATCCCAGGAGTCATTGAATGTTTCGGCTTATTATAACTAAACAATCTCCCCCAGGATCGCCCTGCAAGGTGATCAAATCCAAGCAGTGTGTATTATAGGAACACGTAGCTGTGCGTGTGAGTTTTCAGCATTCAGGAGGATATGCAGCTATACGCGTGAGCACGAGAGATGCATTCGCTGCGCTGCGCTGCCTCAGGACCAAGTGAGCCGGAAAGAGCTTCCACACGCTGTTTATATAGCGATGTAGGAGGGGCTTATTTCCCGTGAAACCTCCGTATGTCACAGTGAGCCGGTGAGTATCCATAGGTTTTTTCTCACACACACACTCGCGAGCTTCCCCCAGACCAGCAATCCAAACGAAAATATGTTCCCTCCGTAGTATTTTGCTCATTTATTTGCCGCTAATAATCAATCAGATCGATCCAGAGAAGAGGAAACTTTAAAGGCCTTTTTCTCAAAATGATGACTCGGTGATAGTCATTATATAATGTGACATATTTTGCTTAATATTTGGAGTACAACAACAATCCTGATATCATTAGAAAGCTAGGAATCTCCTCTTTCCAACATTGTATATAACTCAAAATGTGTCTTCGGGTGAATGCGACTGACTTCGATGGAGCAGGTAACTTTGCATTAGGTAGAATACAGCAGGCAGACATAACAGGAAGAATATGTACATTTTAATCAAATCAAATAGGACATTGTCACACCATTCAAATGTATCCATGTTCATTACAACCAATAACAAAGCTTAGATGTGTTTATTTGACGTTGTTTACGTTATTTGTTACGTTACGTTGTTCTGTGTGTCAGCCGTTAACCTAGAAAAATAAACTTGCAAACATGTCAGAAGAACTGGCTTATAAGAAAACAAAATACAGTCAAACTGAAATTCAACAACTTGAATGTCACATCCCTGACATCCGCAACTCCGGAGCCTGGTCCTTCAACCATAGAACCAGCGCAGCCAGATGAACCCAAAAGCAGCCGGCATCGTTGAACCGAAACAGGCTGGTTCCGACTGCATGGAGGTTTGTTGTCGGGACATTGAGACTGGCCAATAAAAGCTTATTTGGGCAAAGAGAAGGTACTTCAACGCAGAATGGTACAAAAACAGAGAGTGGTTAATTCTTTGCAAAACCACTAAACGAGCCTTCTGTGAAATATGCAGATGTGCTGCTGTCAAACTGCTCGTAACATTCTCCAAATGTGGAGATGACAGCTTTGTAAATACCGAGTTAATAACTGGAGCTTTTCACAGAGCTGACTTCAGTCAAACACCAGTCAACATTCAACTTGTCAAACAAGAGCGTATTGAGCAGGAAACAAGGAGAGATGGAATGATGTGTGGGCTGGACCTGTATAGTTTAATTTACAGGAAAGGAGTGAGCTGAGGGTCGAGTTGTCCATTCTTGTTCTGTTTTCTGTGACTATCTTCCTCCTGAACACCCTCTCAGACTTTCAGTTGCATGCTACTAAAGAGAAGCGTTACCATGGAAACCAAACAGCTGTATTGAAGTCCGAGTGGAAACAGTAACATTTGGAGCGTTATGTTAGAATGAAACAGGTCGTGACTCACAAATCAGATTAAGTCAGAAATCGGGAGAAATGCGGGAGAGATATGACCCCGGGAGGAAAACGGGAGGGTTGGCAAGTATGTCACATACACACGCACTTTTTGGCCCTCTCACTTCTGAAATTAATCCGGCGCCGCTGGCCCAGGCTTGATACTTGCACATGGCATGTCACTAACGTAAACTGAATCTGTCCTGCCAACCCAGTCTCACGGCATTTCGTGTTCACCAACACGATTTTCCCCTTTTTTTCGTGTTGCACAGCACGATTTTAAATGCAATGTATTTCTATTGGTAGTATGTTTCAACCCAGTCTACATAATTCACTTTTTCTGTTCTCTCCTGCAGCTCCTGTACCCACACCACAAACCCATACACTGATCTACACCATCATAAAACCAACAGCACTTTTAAGAGCCAAACTCAACCTATCTACCTAGCTTTCTTATAGTTATTGTCTCTATCTTTTTCTCTCATTCATTATCTATTTCTTCATCTATCCATCTCAATCTTACAATCTGTCTCACTATCTCTGTCCATCTCATACAGCAGCTGTTTGTTTGCATATCTGTTGTGTCTGGCTGGCTGTGTTGCAATGGCAACAAAACACAACCCAGACCCCAATAATCCCACATCCAAAGAAGGGAAACGCATGAACACATGCTAGCTGAAGCTAAGGTTGGCGTTTTAACCCATATGACCTCATTCATTTCCTACTTGAATTTGGCACTATCTGTTATCCGAAAAATGCTGAACAGGCCAAGAGTAACTGGATTTTGGATCAATGTATTGTTAGAAATTAAAATCAATGTTTTGATGGCATAATGTACCTTAAATGTACCTTCAGTTTAAATGCTGTTTTATACTGAAAAACCAGAAAATTATTGTGCTCAACCAGTTAAGCTTTTATTCTGAAAATCCTTCATCTCCGGTTAGCATGTGGCTAGTTTACCATTTCTTATAGAGGTTAATTTAGTAGCGAAATGACATGGAGTGATGCACACCGAAACCTACTGATTTTAACACTGCAACTATAGACGTATTATTATTGCTGAATATTAAATGAAGGTATAGTTTATTTGAATAAAGTTATTGTTTACAGACGTGGGTAAGATGTGACAACTTCCGGAATGACCAGAAACCAAACCAGCCGTGAAGTATTTTCTGTATTTTTTAGAATATTAACTACAACGTTTAGAATGTGTTAAAGGAAAAGTGATGAAAGACAATATGAGGAGAAGAGTCGTGTTTAAGTATGTATTGAATGTACAATGCCTGAATCCTCTGTTTAAACGTAACAACGGACATTAAGATGTGGAGGGCCGGCCCGCAGGGAGGAGCCTACAGAAGCTATATAAGAGCAGCACCTGAGCGGTTCGGCCTCTTTTCTCTGCTAGCGAGGGCCAGAGACAGCTGCTTTTCTGTCGGACAATATCCTGTTTGTGACTGTACCGCGCCTTTTATTAATTAAAGTACCAATTTGAAAACATCTCAGAGACTCCATTTAGTCTCCTTTTTAAGCTTCTCTTTCCTGGACGCGAGAATAACCATCACAGTTAACAATTGGTGCTCCGCGACGTGATTCTCGTTGGACGGGAGAGTACACAACCAGCTGTTTTCCGGAGACGCGGCTTCCGTTCGACACAACGAGCTCGAATACTTGGTAAGAGGAAACCTGTTAAATCAAATTCTTCATAGTTTATGCAGTACAAAATAGGTTTGTGTTGGACGGAGGCCAGCGGATCCTGAAAATAGCTGTGTATTTAATGTTAAAACAACCAAATTTATAACAATAAGAATAACCATCACAGTTAACAGTATATAATGCAAAACGGTTCATCATTACAACATGGGGGGCAGAGGCTTACTAAATAAAGCTTGTTCAACTTGTTTTACTTCATTAGTTGGATATGGTTGGAAAAACTTGAAGCGAAAATGTTCTTCAAGTGAATGAATTTCCTTTTATTTGTCCACTGTCATATGGTATCAGTTTATCAGCAACATCAACCTTACATGAGTTGTTACTTGGTCACAGAAAGCAGCTGAGGAGAGGAAACGGGCACGCTCTGTAGGAAACACTTTACAGTCCCCTAAAAGGGGCTGTGTAGGACGTGGCAAGCCGAGAGGGAGGCGCCAAGGCTCAGTTACAGGTTGAAATCCCAATTATTTTTATGAATTTACTAAGTAAATGGTTGGAAAATCGAATTAAAACACAGTAATTGCTTGTTGAGGGTCTAAAATAATAGTATAAACGCATAGTGACACTACAGTCGGAGACATTCCCACTGTGGTGTCATAAGAACTATGCTTTATTTAATTTCACAAGTCATCAGTTATCTGTTGTTAACTGTTAACCCTCTGTGTGATGTTTTACAGTCACATCCCCCCCAACTGAGGGCTTCCAGTCTTCCAGTGAGGAGGTTCTGCGTACTGAACCTTCAACACGAATTTGGTAAATCACAAAAATGGCTTTAAGTTTAAAACTAAAATCAATTTTTAAATAAATTGTGTTAGTGAGAGAAAATAACCTTATACACACAACTGACAGTTCAGGACTCGAACGAGGAATGTAATTCATAAAGATATTGGCCAGTTCCATACTGAGCAAAGAAATTATCCTTGATTTTTAGTGTTCATCTTAAATATAGTCATTTACAGTTAAAGTTTCCCATTCTGTTCACAGAAAAGAATATGGAGAGACTCTCTGACATTCTTTCCTCGTGTCCTCCTCCTGAGCCTCAAAAAAGCTCTGCCTCATCCTGGCCTTTTCGGCAGCAGAAAGCCTCAGAGCGCTGGAAAGAAGCGAGACCACACCACCTACAATGCCTTCTAGAAAAAGAGGCTGTTGGTCATCCCCTGTGTGGCCTCTGCCACTAGGTGAGATAACATTTACCTTTTTTTAAATTACTTTACCTAATTGTAATTTTTCAGTATTAATGCTCAGTGCCCTGCTATTTCAGCTAACATGCATGACTTTTGGGACGTTAGAAAACTGGATACCTAGAGAAAACCCACATGAAAATGAAAGTAATTCTAGGATATTAGAATAATTTTGTATTTCCTTCCAAGGTGTAGAGAGTGTCTCCCGAGGAGTGGTTCTGTGGAGACTGTGATGTACTTCATCACAAGAAACAGCCACTCCACAACAGGGACAGTTTAATGAATGGGTGTTTTAAACCAATTAGTCCAACAACGTGTGTTGTTAGAGTGGAAGGTGGATATGACACCAATGACCAAGGTATGCTCTCTCAAACTTGCATTTTGATGTTCACATGTCTCTTCAGCCAGCATATAATGGTAATTAGTGCTTCTTTTCTTTTTTTGACAGCTTGCATATTGCCAACTGTGAAGGCACCCAACTGCTCCTGTAAAGGCAAACACTTAACTGTGGTACCAGGCAAACCAGTGATTTTAATTACCAGCAATGGTAAACAAATATATATATATATATTTGGATTTCTATTGAATTGTTGTTATATGTTTACTGTTGTGGGCTGAGGCATTGTGCTTCCAATTGGAGTAAAACCTTCATGTAATATCTGTTAATCTTTGACTATTTGTAGATGGAACTGTTGTAAAATGTGTCTTAATTATGTTTATTTACTTGTTCCAAGGGCGTTATGACTTGCATCTGCCACTATATGTCTGTCAAACTTGCCAGCAGCAGTGGACCCCCGACTTGAAAGTCCTCCTTAAGAGTGGATACTGGCCAGCTTCGGTCAGTATTTCCACACTTTACACCTTTGGACCTCCTGAGCTCCTTTGAAGAGCTGAAGGTCATCTCTCCGGGATTCTCCAGACAGGCCTTTGCAAAGCTGCTGGAGCATCGCACAAAGTGTGGAGGAAGAGTAAGTGTAAATATTCTTTACCATATTATACATTATAACATTTCCGTAAATAGACAAAATCACAGCAATATACACTGAACAAAAATATAAATGCAACACTTTTGTTTTTGCTCCCATTTTTCATGAGATGAACTCAAAGATCAAAATAACCATTTCTCTCAACTATTGTTCACAAATCTGAAAAAATCTGTGATAGTGAGCACTTCTCCTTTGCCGAGATAATCCATCCCACCTCACAGGTGTGGCATATCAAGATGCTGATTAGACGGCATGATAATTGCACAGGTGTGCCTTAGGCTGGCCACAATAAAAGGCCACTCTGAAATGTATGATGAACCATGCGAGTAAAGGCTTTAAAAAAAAAGCCCCAATTATAAAATCTCAGCAAAACATGCATCAGACTTTAGTCTTGTTTTGAAACTCCTGTTGAAATATATAGGCCGTAACGGCCCTGAGCATAACAAATAAATACTAACGTTAATAATTATTATTTTCAAAGCAATTTATGAATGAAAATACAATAGTTCCGAGTTTATATGCAGGCAGATTTATTTCTGGAATTATTAGAAGTTTTGGGCGAAAGATTGTATTTCACAAGTGGCGTTTGAACGCATCATCATTTCACTGTGTCTGTGGTCGTCGATTTTGTCAATAATTTCTGTCTTGAATATACAAGGGTAAGGTTCTCTTCTTCACTTTAGCGTTGCAGCCTTTAGTTATGAATAATTAGTATGAATTACATAATGTGTAGAGTTGATGTAGGCGCTATTGTCATGTTTAAGCTGTTATTAATGTGTCATATCCACTTAACGGGAAGAAAGTTAACGTGTTTATTTATTTTTTAATGTGTTGTTTTTTTAGACTGAGATCAAAGATACCCCAGATCCAGGACACCGAGGCGGAGACCCTTAGAGGAGAGGGACAACTGTTCATTGCAAGTAAAACATTTAAATGACAACGCGTCGTGCAAGTAGGCCTACATTATCCTGCTTATTATAATGGCCACATTCTCAACAAAGTAACGATATGACTTCCAATATTAATTTAAATGCTGTTATGGATGTAGAAAATGTTTTTATTGATTTAAAAGAAGATCCGCAAAGAAAATAGTTCGTTGTTGTAGGCGATTTTTTTTCACTAACGGCTCCTCGAGCAGGGATAGACTTTGGATTACAGATTTGAAAACATCGTTGCTTGGTTTTAAAAGTAGCACAATTGATATTAGTCGACTAAAAGTCTGAGCATTTTAGTCAAAGAAAACAAATTATTTTAGTCTACTTTTTGTCAATGAAAACTGTTGAGTGTTTTTTAGTCAGCAGATTATATAGAACATTTCAGTGAAACGAGTCTAGCCAAAACAAATAATTTGTCATTTTAGTAGGCTATATATAAATAAATAAGATTATATCTTGTCCTTATTTGATTAAAAACACAGGTTGAATGATTAAGAATGCAGCTTTGCAGAGAGTATCTGGTCAGTGGTGTTTTTATCAGCTGTTATGGCCAGATTGCTTCCCTTACGGCCCGTCCACACAGCAGCTTTTGGCGCCGCTTCCAGCGCGTCTCCGTCCTTTGACTTTGAATGGGGATGACGTCACTTTCCCTCGCTTGTCGCCAAACTGCATTGTGGGGGGGCGAGGCGAAGATTTCCAGGATGTTCAGGATTCCAAAGTTGAACAATGTTCAACTTTTGAGGCTGAGCTGGAAGCGACAGCCAATCAGATCCGTTTATGCAAATCTGACATTTCAAGCGCTAGCCAATCAAACCGCGTGCAAGCTGGGAGAACCAGACCCGCAGTTCATTTCCTCATATTCCAAACGAGAAATTACGGTAGCAAATCACCCGGTTCTTTACGACCAGACTATTTACCGGGATACAAACCGGAGGAACCAGGCATGGAGGAACGTGGCAGAGACAGTGGGTGAAACTGGTAGGTTTTCGCCTGTTTGGGGAGTTTATATATATATATATATATTGCTCGCATAAAATCCCCGTTTTTTTTTGCTTTGTATGTCGGGGGCGGGAGATTCATGTGATTGGTTGTTGGTCGTGTTGCTCGCAAAAAATCCCCAAGCTGTCAGACACGCCCAGCTCCAAGATTTTCAAGATTTGTTCAAAGCTGCTGTGTGGACGGGCCGTTATGATAAAACAATGCATTCGCTTTTTTTCTCCGCCTCATTGTAGCGAAAATGGGCTTTATTTCTTTATTCCAAGCAGTGGTGGCTTTAGACTTTGTCAGTCATTTTCACGGACAGGATTGTAACATTTCCGTCATAATCCATTATTACCCGTAGAGTGCACCATTTACCACTCACTCGCGCTGACCGGGGGATATTTGGTTAACGGGAATGCGACCTCTGCGCCCAAGCCCTGTTGTTGCCATTTTATTTTCTGTTAAATAAGGTTAGTTAGATCATGAGTTAGACCCGAGTCTTCCTGACAGTTGACATTGCCCGGTGTAATTCAAATGTACCGCCGCGCGCACCACACCACATTAATGCACACCACATACTGTCGCAGCACCGGAAATGGAACTGCTGGGAGAAAAACTAGGCTTGTTTGAGACGCGTTGCGGCTCGCCTCGAAAGTAGACGAGAGTAGCCGATCGCAGCCGGGGGAGGTCTCAAAAAGATCGCCTGAAGTCGGACAGCTCGGAGTCGGCTTCTTCTTGTTCGCCTTATTCTTCTTCTTCTCTCTGTTATTTGGCGGATTGCAACAACTTAAAGGTGCATACCGCCACCTCCGGAGTCGGCTTGACTCGGTTTGCATTTATAAAGAATACACACATGTGTTTAATCGTTAATGTCAGATATGTACTAAGTAAATACATTTGTTCCTGCTCAAGAATAGATTCAACTTTATTGTTATTGCCCATATTACAGGTGTACTGAGACAACGAAATGCAGTTTAGCTTGTAACCAGGTACAAGAAACAGTGAAGTGAAAAGTAATGTACACAATCTACAGAATAAAATATAGAATGAATTGAATGATGAATAAACAGTGAATGAATACAATATCAGCCTGTGAGCACTTATTTTTGCACCGCGGAACGTTTCTCACTGGATGAGTTTCAGGCGTACCAATTATACTGGAGCACCAACTAACGTTCATGACTTCAGACAACAACAAACCACAGTGAACAACAGTGGGATATGTTGTTTTAAAAAACGGACGGATGGAAGCGTCGATAAGAGCACGGTTGTGTGCAAATTATGCAAAAAGGAATTCGCATATCACCGCAGCACATCAAGCCTCAAGTATCACCTCAATGCAAAACATATAGCAGCTAGCTTGATGTAAACAAGACGAAAGTCTTTCTCTGGTCTGCATCCCCTTAACAATTGTATGTTTTGAGTTGTACTGTACTGTACCCAATATACAAGCTGTTAATAAACTTTTCAATCAATCAATAGCGTGGAAGCTAGCGTGGACGTTAGCCTCTTTTATCGCGTTCACACCAAAAAGAGCCGGTACTAAAATTAGTTCATGAGAACCTTTTTACCCCCACGAAAGTCCCTGCTAGAGAGCAGGGACTTTCGCACGGCTCTCTTGTGAGAAAAGAGCTATATTTCTGATTGGCTGGGCGGATTGCAAACCACGCCCCGTAAAACTCCCAAAAAGTGTTGTGAATTTTATTATCCTCGCATTAGCATTATTAGCATTAGCCCAGCGCAGAAACGCAGAGAGACTAACTTATGGCAACACAAAATAAAACATGGGAACGGTAGAGATGAGGAGGTGTCGGCGTTCTGGCGATTTACTCGGAAGGCTTCAGTAGAAGCTGCTGGGACTCCCAGCAGCTTCTACTGAAGCCAGTCCCCAACTCCGGGGACTTTGGGCGGCAGTATACGACGTGAAGTGGTTTGCTGCCTGCCAGTAAACCCAATGCAGAAGAAGAAGAAGTGACGTCAGCGGCTTCATTTGCCTAATACACTCCCAGGTTCAAAGAGTTCTCATGAACTAAGTTCTCATGAACCTTTGTGGGAAAAGTACTGCGGTGTGAATGCGCCTAATGGTATACTAAAATCCATGTGAAAAAAATTGCTTCTCACTGTTCTCAGGTCAAATATTTATATGCGATTAATTTCGATTAATTAATTACAAAGCCTCTAATTAATTAGATTAATTTTTTTAATCGAGTCCCAGCCCTAGTATTAATACACTAGATATATAAAGTAGGGCTGTGCGATTATGGGAAAAATCATAATCACGATTATTTGGGTCAATAATTGATATCACGATTATTAAATACGATTATTCATTGACTTAGAAAAAATCCTTTAAAACAAATAATAATTGGAACAGTATCTTTTTAACTGTTTACCCTGAACGTATAATTCAACTGAAAAACCAATACAAAAATAAATTAAATAATATACAAGTAATAAATACCAATAAACAAGATCAACAAATATTTTGGAGCGCACTTCCACAAGCTACTAAACATATATAAATACAAATAAATTAGACCAAAATTAATTAGATCAAATATGTTGCAGTGCACTGTCACAACCTAGCAAAGCAAAATAATAGTTTTGTTCCGATTATGTTGTTTTGGTAATTGTGGCAGGGCAAAATGGTAATTGCGATTCAAATATGATTAATTGCACAGCCCTAATATAAAGTATGAAAACGGTAAGCAGTACAAGTATAGTATAAAATATATGGATATTAATGTCATGATAAACATTGTGGAACAATGATGAAAAATGGGAATGGATGTGGTGACGTAAAACTGACACAAAACAACAACAAACTTTTGACGAGCCAATTGGAGAGCTTCATCAGCAGCACGTGGTAAAAACCACCAATGAGCGCTCAGCTGGAGATACCAGCGAGTCGTTTCCCATCAAGCATTTCGCTTTCGCAGCCCGTGGAGAACAACTGCGCCGCCTCGCTCTCAAGGCTGCGGGCGTCTTTGTGCCGCGAGATTTCAACGTCTCATGTAGGCGGGCCTCCAGAGCAAGTGGGACAAAATGACTAACCATCATGCAACGCACTAGCAACTGCGCAGGTCTCAAACAAGCCTACTGACTATCAGAAATGTAACGTTATCTTTGAGTAAAGAGAGATTTTGGCCTAGTTTTTATTTAGAGCTTAACGGCGTGTAAAACACATGTGATGACGTCAGCAACGAATGGACGACTGAATTAGTTGGCAACTAATTTGGTAATCGATTAGTTGTTGCACCCCTAGTCTAAATGGTTGTTAATAGTTTTCTGATTTATGTGTAAATGTGTTTTGTTATTTGCAGTACTCAATCTTGGATGTGGCTGTGGCCCGCCCAGCTCTGTACGCCCGAGGGCTACAGGTCCTCTGGCGCTGTTTTCAGCTGCTGGCGCGGCAGCTCAGGCTCCGCCATGCGGCGGAACAGAAGGTGGCCACCTTAAAAGGGGAGGTGGGAAACTGGAAACAGAAGGCAGGAGAGGCCCTGCAGCGCCTGGAGGTGCTGCAGGCAACCGCCTTGTTTGCCGAGGATGGTAAGTGTTGGTCCTTAAACTTTAAAATGTATGACTGTGAATTTGTGCTATACTACTGTAGTGTTACATTGACTGTTTTTTTATTTTGGTTGGACTGAGTGCATCATCATACAATGACAGAATAGTCATTTGTGACTACTAATGTGTTTTTTTTGTCTTCATGTGTGCAGACCGGAGTGACACAGGCACCCAGACGGAGAAGGAGGGATTTTTTTTTATTGTATAAATGTTGTGTTTGAAAATAAATGTGTTCATTTAATTGGTTTCATGTAGTTGTTGATTTACAGTGTATGTCTGTAATTATAATTAAGAATGTTAAGAGGGTTGTTGTAAATAATAACACAATAGTATTAGTAATAATGAGGAACAGCATTATTTATGATACAATGCAACTGTTAGTCAGCAGGTGGCAGTAATGATCAGGGATTAGTTTAGTTTTGAGTAGCATGACAAGTATGGTTACGACCTCACTAAATGCAATACACAAAGTAGTATTTTAATTGTATTGAGTGTTTTCATGTAATCACAAAGGTAAGAGGTAAGAATATGTCCATCATCTCTCTGCAGCTTCATGTCTTGTATTATGAGAATAATGATGATTATGTGCAGCAACTATAGACAAGCAGGTGTTTGGTGATAAGAATGTTGGGGAATCAGACATAAGCAAGCAATAATAATTAAATATCTCTGAAAAGAAAGGACAGCACAAATTAAAATGTAAACCTAAGACGCAAAGAAGTGCAAGATAACAGATAAATATATAACAACCACAATGTAGATTCAATAATATGAGAGAAGTTGTAGATTAAGTGTACAGTATTTCAAATAAAGACAATGTAATAAGTATATACAGTATATGCAAAATGACAAGTACTATATGAAGTGACAGCATTGATGAGCTATACACGTCTACACCATAGAGCAGGGGTGCCCAACCTTTTTTGAACCGAGAGCTACTTTTAAAGTATAGAGAGGCGTAGCCATTACTGACAACCTACTACCAGGTAAATACACACTTCTACTTGTATAAAACTGACCTTTGTACGATGAATACTTCATAAAATACTGCAGATCCTTTATCTTACCTCTTTCTAATCTACACACATACAAGTATTTAACTGAAGTTACCCAACAGTGTTGTTGATACAGAGTTGGAGTTTATTCACACGTCACACTACAGTGGGTAATGTTTTCAAGAAGCATTGAACAGTGCTGCCACATATGACACAGGAAAAAAAGAAAAGACTCTGAACCCTTTGTTTGCCATTATATAAAAATAGTGTTGCTACAAAAGTATAAATTAGGCTTACTAATAAGACGCTACGCTGCAACTGAGCGCTATCCAGCAACTCAGGTGGCAGCTCTGTCCTGATTTACCGTGCACTTTTCAAAGTAGGGGTCGTTCCCCAGCAGATCCATTTCTCCAGAATTCTGGTAATCACAGAGAAAACAAGAGATCATAATAAAGACATGGTTGCTAAAGCATGATTGAACAATGTAACTGTAAGCCTTATAGACAGATAAAGTGTTTGTGTGTGTGTGGGAGGGGAGGGGGGGGGGGGGGGGGGTGTGTGTGTTTATTTGTAGGCTTTAGGACAGGGGTACTCAAATACAAATCTTAAAGGTCCAAAATAAATGTTTCAATAAGACAAAGGTCCGTTTATTACGGTCATTCAAACTTTTAAACAATTGCAACAAGATTCTTAACACGAGGTTGCAAAAACAAAAATAATCTGTATGCAGCAGTTTTCATTGTTATTGTGTCTGTGCTTGACCCCTCAGAGTCGCAGAGCTGCACAGTTAGGAATAAAGGCAGCTGCACCCTCTTTCATTCAGCATTCCCATTATTGCTTTATAAATGTCTTGCCCCCTTGTGTGTCCACTGAGGTTCGTCAGGCCCAACACATCTTCAACAAACTCCCCCTTTGCCTCATCATAAAAACTCACAAACACCAGCAACTGAGCATTGTCAGTGGTGTCAGTGGACTCACCCACAGCTAAGGAAAGGCACTGTGCATTTTTTATTCCATCACAAAGCTGATGAATCAAATCACCAGCCAGTATTTATGTTCTTCTGGTTGCTGTGGAATCTGAGAGGGGATTTGCTTGATTTGACCTGTTATTTCCTCTTTTTGTTTGCCTTCAACATGGTCTCCATCACTTCAGTCATGCATTCTTTTATACTGCAGTTATTATCCAGTGGAAAGTCCTTACCTGCTGGCCTAGTTCAATCAAAGTGGTTACTTTTTTTGGCTGGGCAGTGTAGTTTTAAACACCGTCTTATTTGACTTTCTCAGGACTTAAAACAGTTTTTTGGGGGCAGACCGCCTCAAAGAAAACAATATATTTACACACGTAAGGTCATCATCTTAATAGTTTTGTATGCTCATCCGTGAGCAGAGCATCAAGTTGACATGTCTATTACAGCTGAATGCGGCGATTACCATGTTGTTCAGCAAAACGCCTCACAAACGTATTAAGATCAACAGCTTTAGTGCGTTTTGATTCAATGCTGAGTACAGCCAAACTGACAGTCTCTTCTCTGTCATTGTAGACCGCAAATACCTCATTCCTTCAGTGCTTGGGTCCGAATGCTTCTCGTTTTGCGCCGTCCAGTTAAAAATGAAATCGCCACCAAATCGTATGTCCACGCTCGCGCCAGGACCGGGGGAGGGGTTACATGACGTGCATCTTGTGCTGCATTCACTTGCACTCGGACATTAGAGACTTTCTCTCATAAATGTCCGATGAGCCACAACTTTTCTTTCAAAACAAAGCTGCCAACTGGGGTGGCAGCTGGGGTGGCAAGGCCTGTTTTTAGGGTGTCAGTTGCCACCCCGGTAGGTGAAACTAGGCTACTAGCTACAGTACAGATGGAACTAGATGAGCTGTTAACTCTCGCTCTGAATTTTTTTTGTTTTTGTTTTAATTCTCGCTCTGACTTAGACAGGTTGAAAGAGACACACACATTTTTCCCACCCGCATTCCGCGAAGACCCGCCCTACTGTGCCTCTGATTCGCAGATTGTTTGGGGGGAAAAAACGCTGACTGGATGCTGAATGTGATTGGACCAAAGCGTTGACACACACAGGTGGAACACAGTGGATCAGTCAGACATGCAGAGCGCTGTTTGCAGTGGACATAGCGGAGAATTTTGACTCGTTGCGAATGCGTTGTGGCGATGTCTCACATATAATACAGAGAGATCATACATATGAAAAGTATAATTTGCTCAGAGTCCGGAGACAGTGGTGGTTCGGTCCGGATCCGGACCGGAGTCCGTAGTTTGAGGATGCCTGCTTTAGGAGATATGTAGAAATAAACAGTAGATATTTTTCATGAAACCATATGGTGCTTCACATAATAAATACAAGGGCTGTAGCCTAATATTTATTATATGCTTTAGGAGCTGTTTGTTGTACAACGTGTGTGTGTGTGTGTTTGTGTGTGTGTGAGCGTTGATGTGGCAGGCAGACAGGCAGGATTCAGTAGCTTATCTGACATATAAATGGTCCAAAAAGGTATATTCTCCGTTAGCTTACGAGGTCCTCGTTTCAGGTAGCAGCTATTTGCTTCACAATTTAGCATCACATTGGATATGGGCAAAATGTGTGCTGGATTTGAGTTTTTTGGAACATTTCCCTAGGAGGAGTTTGCAAAAATGTGCTTAAAATGCATGAGAAACGCACATTGTTGAATATGGCCAACTTCCTGGGGGGCGGGGCTAATAAAAGCAAATTTGAAATATGTCCGCAATCATAAGAGACATTTGTATACAGCGTTTCGTGAATATCGGAATAACTATATGCGAGCAGTTTGGAGCAATTTGCGCCATGTACACATACACACACCCTCCCAACAGCCAGTCGGTGCCTGCCAGTGAGCGTGGAAGTGTGGTCTGCCACAAGCGGGCAGCAGGAGCGGGGCTGTCAGCATCAGCTTGTAGATGGTATTTTAAACTCGATGCGCTCTGAAACTACGGGGCGGCCGAGGAAAAACAATACACATGCGTTAGTGGCGTTATTTTTTTTTTGCGTTAACGCAAAAAAACAGCCCTAGTAATTTCTAATGTCTATTAAAACAAATATTAAAACATTGTATCTCAATAAATGAATTTATAAATTACATTTACAATTACGGCCCGTCCACACAGCGGCGTGCGTTGAAGCTTCTGCCCATTCACTTTGAATGGGGTGACGTCACTTTTAGCCGAACTGCATTTTGGGAAGCGACGTGGAGCGTTGCTCGCTTCAAAAGTTGAGCAATGTTCAACTTTTGGAGCCTCGGCAGAAGCGTCAGCCAATGAAATCCCGTTTATGCAAATCTGCCAGTACAAGAGCTAGCCAATCAAACCGCGTGTATGCTCGGAGAGACTACGCAGGTCATTTCCTCATATTCCAAAAAATGGAGGGAAAATTCATTGTAGCGGTAGTGAATCACCCGGTGCTGTATGATCAGTCTCTGTTCATCTACCGGGATACAAACCGGAGGAACCAGGCATGGAGGGAGGTGGCAGAGACAGTGGGTGAAACTGGTAGGTATTCGCCTGTTTGGGGATTTTATATCCAGTTTACTTCGCTTTGAATGTCGGGGGCGGGAGATTCATGTGATTGGTTGTTGGTCGCAAAAAATCCGCAAGCTGCTGTGTGGACGCTCCGTTAAGAACTTTATTTTGTGAAGTAAGTGAAAGTTGGGCTACTTTCTTTTCATTTAATTTCAGACTGAATTTTACTTCTAGAATCTAATGATAATTAAATGTACATTACACTGATGAGAATGTAAAATGATTTATAAAGAATGTGTTAACCATTTTGTTATGGTCCCTTTGCGCTTCTATATACTCTATATTGAGATCTCTGACGGCCTGGTATCGGGGACAATTGGTTGATCAACAAGCACACAATTTCATCATTCATTTGAATATGCTTCAATTATTAAAAACTAATAAGTGTATATTTTGTTGTTTCAGAACATGGACCTGAAAACTGTGCTCAACGTACCAATGGACAGCCCATACTTCTAACCCCCACCAATCACTGTAAAGGTGATCAAACTGGAGGACCAGCCAAAAGTGGTGGCTTGGGACTTTGGCGACACAATAAAGGCGGCCACCGTCCAACACAACAAGGTGGCCATTGTGTCTGATGGCAGCAGTGTCACTAAGGTGACCATTTATGAGGAGTATGCCTCAAAAATCGCAGAGGGGGGTACCTATGTGTTAAGGGGCTACACACTGCGCGGGCAGTCTCCCCCTTATTT